TACACACACAGACACAAACACACACACTGATGCAAAAGGACACAGATACACACACACAGATACATACTAACAGACACACATACTGAAACAGATATACACGCATATAGGCATACATACTGACACATACTGAGACATACACACATATACAGACACACAGGCATACATAGTGACAGACAGACACATACTAACATACATACAGACACACATGCATGAGGACATACAGACACATACATACATACACACAGACATACATTCATAATGAGATACAGACATACATACATTCATACTGGCATACATACATACAGACATACATGCATACAGACACTGACATCCATACATACATACACAGACATACATTCATAATGGCATACATACATACATACATACATATATACAGACAGACATACATACATACATTCATACATACAGACATACATGCATACCGGCATCCATACACACATACAAACAGACATGCGTTCATAATGACATGCAGACATACATTCATACTGGCAAACAGACATACATTGATACTGGCATACATTCATAATGACATACATGCATACAGACACTGACATCCATACACACATACATACATACACAGACATACATTCATACTGACATACATGCATATATACAGACATACTGACAGACATACATTCATACTGACATACATGCATATATACAGACATGCATCCATACACACATACACACAGACATACGTTCATACTGACATACAGACATACATTGATACTGGCATACATACATATAGACAAACATGCATACATACATCATGAGATACATACAGACATTCACACACACACACACCGCTCATTTTTCAGCCACCCTCCTGTTCTAACCTTTTCTTTGCAGGAGGCTGGCTGGAGCTGATAGGAGTTGGCGCGGCTCTCCCTCTTCACTGGCACGCACGCTCCTCCCGGGCGGAGTGAGCTGGGAGGAAGTGACCACTTCCTCCCAGCAGCACTTGCTGCAGTTGCTACACGTGGGGCCCGGACAGCCGGACCGCCCAGGGCTGCCAGGCCCGTGACAGCCATCATGGTTGTCACCCATTGATGGCGGTCCTGTATCCACATGTGAACCAATATAAAGCACAGGAATTGGACATTTATCAACAACCGCATGGCAGCCGAATATGAACCGAATGCATCCATCAAGATGCACATTTGCAAAACATAATTCTCATTCTTTTTTAAGTGAATTGATGTTTTAAAGTAGTATCAGTCTACTGGCAGCACTAGAAGCCATTGGGCTTTTTTAAACCCCTTCCCGACTGTGGACGTATTAGGTATGTCTGACGAAAAACGGTCCGACCATGGACGTATCAGGTGAATTAGAGCGCTGGAAGCGATCGTGATTGCTTCCAGCCACTCTGATGGTATTGCAGCGATGCCTCGATGTCGGGGCATCCTGCAATACCCCCCTCACTGCCGAACCGCCAGGTGATCGCTCTCCCTGAGCGATCACTTCCGACTTTTCCCACGTGGCTCCCGGCAGTGAGGCAGAGCACCGGAAGCCATCAGGCAGGCTTCTGAATGTAAATTAAAAAATGTATGATTTTTAAAAAAAAGATTAATCCCTTCCTTCCCTCTCCCTCCCTCCCTCTCTCTCCATTCCCATGTACTTACCCGATTGTCGCCGATCCCCCCACCAGTATTCACTGTTCTTCTTCACTGGGGGGACTGTCTGACAGCACAGACAGTCCCCCCTCAGCAAATAAGGACCCCCAGGGGCCATGTGATCGCTCTGAAAATATAATTACATAAATAATTTCATAAATATACACGCAGACTTCAAATATATAAAAATGTATATATATTTAAATTCTACGTGCATATTTATGTAATATTTTTACATAATTAAGTAATTTTATTGATTGCAATTTGGAGGACCTGCCTGACAACCCAGGCAGAAATTCCAGAGAATTTAATTTGCTAGCACTATAGTTAACCTTGTAACTTTCCAAGACACCCTAAAACCTGTACATGGGGGGTACTGTTTTACTAGGTAGACTTTGCTGAACACAAATATTTCAAAACAGTAAAACATATCACAACAATGATATTGCCAGTGAAAGTGAAGTTTTTTGCATTTTTCACACACAAACAGCCCATTCACTGATGATATCATTGTTGTAATACGTTTTACTGTTTTAAAATACTAATATTTGTGTTCAGCAAAGTCTCCTGAGTATAAGAGTACCCCCAATGTACAGGTTTTATAGTGTTTTTAAAAGTTACAGGGTAAAATATAAGGCAGATTTTTCACATTGAAATTTGCCAGATCGGTTAAGTTGCCTTTGAGAGCATATTGTATCCCAGGAATGAGAACTACCCCCATGATGCCATACCATTTGCAAAAGAAGACAACCCAAGGTATTGCAAATGTGGTATGTTCGGTCTTTTTTAGTAGCCACTTAGTCACAAACACTGGCCAAAGTTAGCGTTCATAATTGTTTTTTGCATTTTTAACACACAAACAAATATAAATGCTAATTTTGGCCAGTGTTTGTGACTAAGTGGCTACTAAAAAAGACTGGACATACCCCATATTGAATATCCTGGGTTGTCTAGTTTTCAAAAATATATGGTTTGATGTGGGTAAATTACATTGGACGGCTTCAAATATGTCCCAAATAGGACATAGGTGCATGATGACCAGCTGTGAAAATTCCAAGTTGGAAAACTGGAATGCGAACCATCCAAATAAGGTTTTCTAGCCCCCATAGAACCCAGCACACCTATACATGGGTGATATCACTGTACTCAGGAGATGTTGCTGAACACGTATTGGGGTGTTCTTTGGCAGTAACCCTTCAAAGTTCTCAGTACATGTTTTAAATTGCTATGTGTGTAAAAAAAAATCACCAATTATTATTTTAATTTTTTTTTAATTTGGCATAGATTGGTGGTAAAATGGTTGCATAAAAAAAGTCAAAACACCCCAAGTTTAATACCTTAGGTTGTCTTCTTTTAAAAAATATATACATGTGAAGGGTTATTCAGGGATTCCTTACAAATATCAGTGTTACAAGGTAACTTGTGTTAATTTTGATAAACAATGGTTTGGAAATAGCAAAGTGCTACTTGTACTTATAGCCCTACAACTTTCCAAAAAAGCTAAGAACATGTTAACATTGGGTATTTCCATCTCAGGACAAAATTGAGAAACTATTCAGCAGGTGTGTTTTTTGGTGGTTGTAGATGCGTAACAGATTTTGGGGTTCAAAGTTAGAAAAGGTGTATTTTTTTCACATTTTATAATTTTTTTATAGTAAATTATATGATATGATGAAAATAATGGTATCTTTAGAAAGACCATTTAATGGCGAGAAAAACGGTATATAATATGTGTGGGTACAGTAAAAGAGTAAGAGGAAAATTACAACTAAACACAAACACCGCGGAAATGTAAAAACAGCCCTGGTCCCTAACGGTAAGAAAATAGAAAAGCGACCTGGTCACTAAGGGGTTAAAGAACAATTAGCCTATGGGCAGAACTAGAAACCATTGGGCAAATAGTAAAAAACAACGCTACAAATGATAACTACAAAAAGAAAATTACCTATAAGTAGGAAACAATTGTCTGTATTCCTATGTGCACAATGTAATTGCTTTTTCCCTTGGACACTTATAAATGTGACACGGATTGGGTAATACTGTGCACAGAAGCATATTACTAGTCACTAAATATGCATTACTAATAGGTTCTTTGTACAGAACATCCTTTCCTACGCTATATCAAAATCATTCATCTACTCTAATGTCACTCCTGTTGTGAACTTGAATAGGCACTTGTTAACTGCCTCTCTGTTACCTGAGCACATTTAAACTGAAAAAAACAAATTACCATCTCCCCACTGAGAATACTGCTCTTTCCTAACGTGTAATAGCTACATTTTTAATGTAGATGGAAGACTGCAGAGTAACAAACAAACTGAATGCAGTGTGTTTGTATTTTTAATAAATTTGCTGTAGTTTGTTAGAATAAGCCTTTGACACACATCCCTGTAGTATTTCTGTCTGGTTTACAAGTTGCATCATTTGTAGATATGCTCTTTTGCTGATATGAGTCATTTGAATTTATGGTGTAATTGTTTTCTTTATTTAAAACTAGTGCCCAAAGTAAACATTTCTTCATTTTTTTTGTATTTTTGCTGTGCATAGGAACAGTACAAACAGTCCTGAGGTGCCCCAACAGCAATCCACAGGCATATCAACATGCATTTCACTTGAGGTAGTGGCGTATACATGCACAATTTATAGTTTTCAACAAGCTAACCTTATGCAGTATTCTTAAGCTATTCATACGCTCCTGAGAGGGAATAGAATATTCTTATGCATCACTTGGAGCTGGTATGCAATAAATGTTAGGTTACATGCCAGGCAACCAAATAATATTATAAACAGGAGGATTATGTTATAGAAACGTGTCTAATTTACTGAGACTATGCTGCAGGGACGATAGGCAAGACACTATTGGGACTGGTAATAAAGAAGCGTTAGGCTACATGCTAGGCAAACAAATTATAATAGAGACCACTGTAGTCGAGCAGGCTGCTGATTACAATGCATACATCTGTGTGGGTCTAAGCGGGAGTGTTTGCAAGTGTTCTCAACCCACTCTGCGGGGCGGGATAGTGCGATGGCATTGCAAGCCAGTCTACCAGGCCATGGGGGGGACCCTGTCTGCCCCTTACTTGAGTGAGGATCCACTGTGCTCCTGTAGAATGTCCTTCCCTGTCAGAGGGTCTTTTGTCCGTCCTTGTAGCTATTCGTGCCAGCTTTTTCGTGGACTTGCGTTGTCTGTGTACTATGCATCTTCGGCCTGAGGCCTTAAAGGGAACTGGCACCTTTTTACCATGTATCCCATTTTGAGGGTCATGGCCCAGGGTTCCTCTGGTTCCCGGTTGCCCCCTGGGTTGGTGAAGGAGAGGTACCTCCAGGTGAGTACCCAGCCCAGAAGAAGGACGAGCTGCGGAGACATCAGTTTTGTCCACACGTGTGGCTGGATGTACTGGATCGGTAGGGTTGTTTGTTGGAAGGGCTTCTGACTTGAACTGTGTGGCAGGAGTTGTAGGTGGCTGCGTCTGCTCTGCACGGACTGCAATCCGGTGCCAGAATGCTGTACATATCCTGTCAAAGTTGGCATTGAATTTGGCTTCCTATGTAGGTTATTTCCCTGCTGTGTCAGTCATTTTTGCAGACTGACGGTATGCTTTCGACTGGTACGGGGGGGGGGGAACAGGTCGGCTGTGGTAGCCCAGCGGCCCAAGGGTAGAGGATTGGCCATTTCCTCCCCCGTGGGATCCGACAGGTGAGTAGGCCGCAGAAGCTGATTCTTGGCTTGGGTCGGCGGGCAAGACTCCAGAGTCGCTTGAGAGGGTTCCATATTGGATAATTGTTGTACGTAATCTTGTTGGTTGCTTTTTTGGGGGCTGGAGGAGGGGTGATTGGAGAGGTTGCAAACATGAGACAGCAGAAGAGTGTTGCAAGGGATGAGGACTTAAGGGGCATTGCATAAGGAGGAAGCAGCCCTAGAAAAGTCATGCAGATGACAGTGTGGGGTGCGGATATGAGAACAGTATACTAACAGGTCACCAGTGGATTTAACATGCCGGTCTGGGACATATCTGATAAGGAGGGAGGAGATATAAGCAGGGGCACAGTTATAGAGAGCCTTGTAGGTAAGGTGAGACCTTTGAACCGAATCCTACATAAAACAGTAGACCCGTGCAGAGACTGAGATAGGGGTGAGGTTTGAGAGTTGTGGGACATAAGGTAGATGAGTCTAGAAGAGGCATTCATCATGGAATGTTGAGTGGCAATCTTGGTAATTTTTAGACCAGTAAGCAGAGGATTATAATATTCAAAGCGGGAAAAAAAACAAGAGCATGGCCCAGCACTGAAACAGGAGAGAAAATACTAAGTCTAGAGGTGGAGGCCAGGCAAACGGTCAGACAGTCAAGGGGAGTAGAGAGTGATGCAATTTCTGTGAAATAAGATGCACAATTAACAGCAGCGAGATTAGAGGGACACTGTAGGCACCCAGACCACTTCAGCTAATTGAAGTAGTCTGTGTGATGTGACCTTTTGCACTTAGTGCTGCAATGTAAAACATTGCCATTCCAGAGAACTGCAATGTTTACATTGCAGCTCTAAGTCTGCCCTCTGTGGACTTTTGGTCCATTATCTGATGCTGGACGTCCTCACGGACCTCCAGTATCAGATTTTCCCCATAGCAAAGCATTGAATAATGATTTTCTATGCAGAGGTCTAATGCGAGCATGGCCATTGCAGCAAATGCACATTAGCTCTCCCCATCTCTTAGGTTTTAACCACTTCAGCCCCGCAGGAGCGGGGCCTGAGGGAGGGGGGCACTCCACGATTTGTTTTCCTGACACTATATGATCCCTTTAAGGGAGGTGATTCGGGGTAAATTAGGATATTAAAAGTTTGTAAAAAGGCATATTGGATCATGTGGGAATGTTGAGCTTAGGGAGGTGAAGTATGTTTGTTTGGCGAGATAGGGGGCGAGAGAGGGGACACAGTTGTAGGAACACAACATAAATTTGTAATGCAGGAAGTCAGTCATACTTTAAGACTTCCTCCAATAACATTGCACTTCCTTTGAGCATCTTTTGAGTAATCAGGTAGATTGTGTATGCCAGGGTTGGCATTTAGTTCTATGTGAATGTGAGTTAACATAGCTTTTTACTAGAGAGCACATGTGGTAGTGAAGATTGGTGAGATGACAGGGTAGATATCAATGGAAAGCTGCTGCAAATAAAAAGATTTCAAGTTTCTGCAGAGTCTAGGTGTGACCCCAGAGAGTGTTTGATACAGAACAGAAGAAAAGGTCCAGGCAATCCAATGCTCAGCAAGACAAATTTATTGGAACAAAATTTAACAGCTTGACAAAGACACTTTGAGAGGTCAAAACGTTGCTGTGAAACGTTGTTCCAATCAATTTGCCTTGTTGAGCATTGCAGTGCTTGGACCTTTTCTTCTGTTCTGGATTTAACCTTGTGGGGATTGTGATAGCCCCTGGCCTAGTTGCACCCAATTATTGTGCATTGATTGATAGCAGTTCCTTCAGATGTAACTGGTAAATGTGATAGTGTTTGGGAAGCAGAGAATGATAAGACTGTAGCTTAGGAGATGGTGATCAGAGAAATGGAGGGGGGTGTTAGTTAAGTTAGTGATAGAACAAAGGTTGAAATAAGGTCTATATCATTACTATCTTGATGGGTAGGGCAACTGGGCCACCATATGAATCCAATGAGGTGGTTTCAGAGGCTTTGGAGCTAGTAGGCACATATATAGTGTGGCAGCGTGAGGGAACACTGCTATATTAGCCCCAGAATGGCACTTTCAGTGTTCCCTGACTAGAGGGGGTTAAAATCAGGTTGCTTTAGTACATCAATTAGGGAGCTACATAAACCCTATTCAGAGGGAAATCAGTCTCTCCTGTGAAGAGCTGGGGTGAAGACAGAGAGACTGTTGAAACTTTGTGGGAACAAAAAGGTATTTTGCAAGCCTTTAGTTTTATTTTGTTAAACTACTGGGGTCAGCTTAGCTGCCCAGTAGCATAGAAAGGGTACTCTATGTTAGTTAGTCTCCAGTGTGGAATAGGTGTTTATTTTAGTTTTCATGTTTTGCTGTGGCTCAATTGGGGCCTGCTTGCTAAATAAAGCTTTCCTCATATTGGAAGAAATAACTGTTTCTGTTGTTTATGACCCAAGACCTGGCCAGCCTGCTACAATAGCTATGTGAAAGTCTGCATGGATAATGGACACAATGCCTGAGGGCAGGAAGAAAGGGAGCCAGGTTAAGAGATGATCCAAGAAGGGGGCCGTGTTTCCAGGAGACAGGTAGATACTTGCAAGAAGGGGTAAAAAAGCAGATGGCATGGACCTCAAAGGAAGAGAAAGAGTGATAGTACAGAGGGAATAAGCCAAAACGTGCAACAAAGTGAGAGGAGGAGACTCACGTTGCCAGCCTGCAATCACAAGGTCTGGGGGTATGTGAACGTTGGAGGCTGCCTTAATATGGGGAAGCAGGGACAGCACACTTGGAGGCGGAGAGACAAGTTTCAGTGAGGGCAAGGAGATGGAAAAAGTTGGAGATAAAGAAGTCATAAATGAAAGCAGATTTAGCAATGCTAGAATCATTCCAGACGTCACAGTGAAAAGGAGGAGCACAAGTGAAGCTAGAGGCAGTATGTATGACATTGGAAGGGTTCCTAGGTAGAGGGAGCAGGGCCAGAGTTAGGGGAGATGTTACCAATTGCTAGGAGCAAGAGAAGGAAAAAGTGAGAGGAGAAGGAGAGAGATTTGAAGGTGTGTGAGTCGGACCAGGATTAAGGAGACTATGTAAGAGGAAGGGTAGAGAAGAACAGAGAGGATTGATGAAATGACACATGGGTTTTGTAAAGCTGGGAGGCAACCGAAAGAAAAGAAAAAAATGATAATTTTAAAAGAGGAGCAGATGGAGCAACTGTGGTTACAGGTATTCAGGTGCAGTGGAGGTTTATCCATATAGATATTTTTTTGTAAAAAGTAAAAAAAAAAAAAAAAAAGTTAAAATATAAAAGAAAATATATTGGTGTTCTACCAGGTCCTACGCGTTTCATCCAAGAGGACTTCCTCAGGGGCCCTTAGATAGTCTGAGCAACCAAATGAGATGACATCAGCAATGCAAAAAATGCCAATGTAAAAAAGCAGTATAACCCCTCTGCCCTGAGTCTCTCCTTTGAGAAGATAAGAAGAAGCATGGGCCATATAAAAGGAGGGACCCAGAGTGGAGCAGTTATACTGCTTTTTTTACATTGTGATTTGTTACATTGTTGATTTCATCTCATGCATTGCATTTATTACATTGGATGTATGTATAAAAACCTGCAGATCTCTTGTCTATTACCTTTGCAAACCCTCCCTTTCTCACCTCACCCAGACTTTCTATGGCTGTCCAATAAGACTTCCTAATGCAGCTCAATGAGAAGTCTTTGTAAGGCAGGTGCTTTGAGCAATTGCTGCCTCTTGAGTTTAGCTCCACTGAGCTAGCCAATCCAGGAAGTAACAGGACCTGTTGTCAAAGCGGTGTAAAAAGTTCAATTTATAAAAGTGCCATTTTATAAATATAGATTGCAAGCTTGTTTGAGCATGGTCCTCATCAATCTATTATCCCTGTAATATTTAATTTAACTATCTCATTTAATGCTAAATAGTATTGTAAAGCACTGAGATATAAGTTGGCGCTATTTAAAAAATGCTTTTAATAAAAATGTGTTGCATAACTGTTCTTCAAATGCTCTTAGTCGTTTCTGATGGTGCTATTCTAAAAAGAAGAGACTATCATATGAATGTGTTATTCCTGAAAACTATTTTTACACTTGGGAGGTTAAGTGATGTCAAGATGCCTGAAGAGCTTGTGATATCCCTGTTTTGTGCAAGCATACAATTTTGCAGGGTCAGAGATATGTGCTGTAATGGCAAGTAAAGAAGTAAGAAATGCAAAAGAATTGGATACGTGTTTCACATATGACAACACCATTAGCACAGTGGTCATAGTAATAGGTAGTTAGATGACATTTCATTTGCACTCTACATAAATGGCCATACGCAATGGCCTAAATTCAATTCAGTGGCTTAATTTTAAGGCATATAATACTCCCAGCACTATAACACATTTAAATGTAAGTAAAATAGGCTATTGCTGAGTTATAACCCCTTCTACATATATAATGAGTATTTTGACAAGTCTGAATTGCTCATTATGCACAGCTTCACCATAACAAGAGCAACTAAAATATGAAGGGGGATGACCTTTCCTGTAAATATTTGCTTGATATTTAATCTAGACTGGTAGTTCTTCACAATTATGTGCATGGCATTAGATTAGACTAATATTTAAATTTAGTAAATACTACTATATATTTTATATATTGGATTATTCTCAAAGTCTGCAGTTTAAAAAAAAAAAAGTAAATCAGCTTTGCCAAACAGTTTGTATATGTGTTTGCTAACATTAGGTACAGCTGAAATATAAATTGAACCACTGTGAGAATCACAGCAATATAGCTAAATTCAGAGTATAGGCAAATTCATTCAACAATATGATTGGCTGGAACAAGTATGTAAAGTGCATTGACTCTTTGTGGCCCATTTGGTGTACTCAACCAGGCTTTACTTTCATTTTATCAAAAATTTTAAACCCTTTAATGATGGTAACTGCGTGTTCATTATGGACAACATGCGCCAGATAAGTGGTGTTATTGGGGTGCATATTACCGTACACAGGAACATGAACAGATATGCTGATTTAATATAGCATACCGATGACAGAAAAGATAGGGCACTAGTGAATCAGTCAATGGACAAGGATAATGCAGTAATATGGATCTTTAGATGGTCTACTTTAGGTAATTACACTAGGGGTCATTAAACAGGCAAAAGTTAGTGTGTACTTTGTACACATTTTGCGAACAAAACTGCAAAGGTAACATCCATAGGAAGTGATTATTTATTAAAAGGATGGATGTGTGAGAGCCTACAACATTCAGGAGGTGAGGGATCAGAGATATTGCTATTTGCATGAGAATTGTTCTATAATTTCTCTTGGCTCTCTTTGGCATAGGGTTGCCTCTCACAATGGGCCACTTATTCTGCTACCTACAAATGCATAGCCTTGCTTAGCTTTGACATCTGAGTGATGACTCAAACTGCTCACTTGAATACTTACTTGTTTTTAGTCTCTATATTTTCAGGTTACCTATGAAAAAAGGCTTTTCACTCGACTTTACCAACACCTGAGCTTTTCAGGTGTGTGCATGGCTCCACTGTTATATGTCTGTGCCTCGGAGAGGGATGAGGGGTAGTCTTTGAACAGAGAGGATTGGAGCAAGATATGGGAGGCAACCACTATGTCCTCTACCTGCATAGTATATCAGGAACACGCATACTAGATGCGAATAAGGTGGTACATGGCACCTGGGAAGTTGGATCATATCGGTGCAGTTCTCACTCATGCCTGCTGGAGTGGTTGTGAGGACAGAGGATTTTTTTTAACACATATGGTGGAACTGTTTGAAAATAGACAGTTTTTTTTGTCAATATTCAAACGGTCCTTTTATACATTCTCATCAAACCCAATGCTCCAACTCTTCAAATCAGTAGATTCCTTCATGTCCCAAGAAAACAAACTTCTCAGTAAAATTACACTTGTGGGCTCTGGCGGAGAGCTGAAGGAACATTGACACCTTGGAATTTAATCCTTTGTAAAATCTGAGATGAGAGTTTATTGGATGACTTAACAGCTAAAGTTCGAGGCATGACTTTGTCCTACCTTAAGACAATGGATCCATGGCCTGGAAGCAACTATCACAGTAATGTATAATGCCTTATGATCCTTTCCTCCCCAAACAGTCACAGGCTACTTCTGTACCAAAGGTTACCCAATACACTCCTCCCTCCATTTCCTCCACTTTTCTCTGCTCTCTACTTTTTCTTTTTTTACATAATTGTTAAAACTTTCAATTATGGTTTCTGCTTGGTACTAAGTAAGACCTCCACTTAAACTAGTCATTAAAGACTTGGAGCAGGGATAGGGAAAATGTAACATGTAACCTACTTGAATCTGTCTTTAGCAGTAACACCAATATGAGCATATACATGATTATATTTGCATGAATATTCAAAAAGGGTCTGTTTTTTTATGTTCCGTGTTTAGGAAATATAGGGAATGCCAACCAAACTAAAATCAAATTTGGCAGCTGAATTTTGACTGCAAATTCATAGGTTTGTAAATAGTCCTTAGGAGTCACAAGTATATATGTATAAATCATTTTAAACCGTGTTTAGATGATAAAGATGCTTTAAATATGATTCAGAAAAAAATATCCTTTCGATAATATACTTAAGTTCAAGAGGAGACCAATTTATCAAATCTTTTGCAGGAAACATATTTATTTGAAGACTTCATGAAGCATTTGATACATAAAACATTTTCAGTATCACCAAACCATTTACTCATATTTAAAAGATGTGACTTTGAAGTCACCTTTGACAGACAAATAAGTTAGCTTGTCATAACCATGGCGGTTTGGGAAAGTGATCTCGTGGCCGTCAGGAAGTTTCACTTCAAACTTGTCCCCATTTAATTTGACTGAGATCTGCAAAATAAAAAAAAAAAATAGGAAAAAGAATGCTAAGCTAACCAAAAAAAAAAAAAAAGATGAAGATTAACAATATAGGGAGAATAAGTAAAATAAGTTTACAAGAAATGGTCAGTAATGGCGAGATACAACAATCAGATAACCAGACAGAGATACAGCATAGATATAGAGATACAAAATTATTACAGTTTATATATTTTTCAATTAAATCCAATTCTATAGTCACACTACACATTTTTTTTTCTAGGGTACTGTGCATTACACAGCCCTTTATTATGTAGGCTAAATGACAGGATCTGCAAAAATCCAAGGGATAAGAGATTGAGATCTCTTTTTGAGGAGGTTTCTGATATCCTCCCTCATTTATCACAGAGGGTACCAGACTTGGGCCATCACAGTTACTAAGGAGTAATGGAATACCACATCCCTTGTCACATCCCTCTAGGCCCTAGTTTCTCAATCCATGGTACGCATACCATAGGCAGGGTGTACGTCTTCCAGTACTGTTTCCTTGTGCACCCTGCGGTGATGCCAGGACCCGATGATGTCACTCTGCCCCCGGCATCACTAAACAGAGCATGATGGAGGAGTGCTGGAAGAGCAGGAAAATTACACAAGCCTTACACTGAACCCCAGAGAAAGGATCCCCTCCAGCTCCCCCAAAGGTAAGGAGGCTGGGTGGACTTAAACAAAAATATGAACAAAATAATAATTTATGAGTGCATGTGAAAGAATGTATCTGTCCATGAGAGTATATGTGTCTGTCAGTGAAAGTCAAATCAGTGAGATTGTATGTATGTCAGTGAATGTGCGTCAGTCTGTGTGTGTGTCCAATCTGTGAGAATGTGTGTCAGTGAGTGTGTCTGACAGTTTGTGTGTAAGTGTGTGTGTGTCAGATTCCTCTGTGAGTAAATGTATGTGCGTGTGTATCGTTGTCCTCTTTGTAACCATTAAGTATGCATTCTATTTTCATGTTGTAACTTTTATACTTCAGATTAATAATTCACATACTTCTCTTTACATACACAATACTCACATTATGTCATATTTATTTCAGAAACATTCTTTACTACGTTTAGCCAGGCTTGTTCTCCAATATTGGCGTAACTTAAATAGCAATGTCTACATGTTTCCGTTGGAATTTAAATCAATAGAAATTACTTTCTCAAGTCAGGGGTACTTATCAATATTTTATACCAGCAGGGGTACGTCTATGTAAAAGGTTGAGAAACACTGCTCTAGACAATTAGAGGTGTCCACAATATGATATTGCACTGTTAATGACACAGAGGATTTTGACTGATGATAACTAAGGTACTAAGTGACCATTATTTATATCCCTTTTCTGGGAAAAACCAACCCATTAAGAAAATCATTACCACACAGTTTACTATTCTGGTGAAAATTAATCTATTAATAATAATTTTCCATAAATGACACTGATGTGAAGATTGTGTGCTGAATTCTGTAATCTATTAATACTCTATACAACATCTGTCCCTTGGGAAAAGCACACGTGCCATGACCTCTGAAATCCCAAAACCCTCTCTATGACATTTGAATTAAGTGGGCAAACCAAATATATCTTGACCTCTGCATTCTGCCAAAACTCACCTTGACATCCGACCCTGGGGTGAAGCACATATGCCCTGACCTCTGCTCTGACTCCCAGTTGTTGCTGCGTTTGGAGTTGCACACAATGGTATTCTCACTTAAGCGAGGATTAAAGTGCAGGCCTACATCACTTGAGTTGCGACCAATGTTAAAAGAGAAGCTACAAAAGAAGGAGTAAAACAGAAATCAGGATAATTTCCTGACATGGGCACAGACAGGAACCAGATTTAACAACACAAGTCCATAAATAAATGTCACCTCTCACAATGTTTCACTAATTGTACAGGCTTGAGGACAGTCTAACCAATTTTGTAGTTGTCTCTGCATTAAATCTAGGAATCTCCTAGAGTATCTTCCATTTAGATTGCTTGGGAAGCTGAATAAATGTATTATACTTAAATGTTTTAGTGTGTTTGCTCATGTAGTTGGAAACAGAAAACACAGCATGCCAGGGATTCTATTGAAATCAGACGATTGTTTGACAGGATTTCTGACACTCAAACAGTTGGGGAGGTCTTAAACGGAATGTGGGTGAAATCAATGTTGATCACTCCTAGCTATCAAATAATTCTAATGAAGCTGCAACCTTGGGATGGATTTGCTATATGCTAATGATCTTTAGATTCAATGCTTCCCTGCGCTATACCAATCAAAGGATGTGTAATTTCCAGGCTGGGCATCTCCATCCAGTGTTTCTCTACAGAAGGACAGAGAGAGAGAGTAAGGAGTAGTCTATATTAAAATAGATGGGAAAGGTATTACAAAGCAATATAAAATAACTGGACAAATCAAAATTTTAAAGGAACATGGTACTCACTATTTCAACTTCATCTTATTGAAGTTGTTACAGTTCCTGCAGTAGTTTCCCTGTTGAAATTGCCACCAAAATGTTTTATTATAGTCGTTAGAAGACTTGGAAGTAGCCAGGCAGAGCATGGCGTCACATGCACGTGTGTTGTACCGTTGCAATTTGTCACAGAGAAACATTGCATTTAATGATTTTCTGTGACAGAATCATTGGAGAATCGCGGCGAGCATGCCCCGCTTAGAGGCATGCATCCAGGATGATGTCAAGTAAGGAGTGGGCAGCAGTGTCAAATGAGACTCACACTTGAGAGAAGGTGAGTAAAATATATATTTTTTAAATATCAGTACACATCATGGGATCCTGTAATTAGTTAGGGACAGGGAGTATATAGCGTTAGGAATATAGATATGTATTTCTAACGCTATAGTGTCCCTTTAAGGAAAAGGGAAATGATTGGATGGGATATAAAAGATGATAACATTAATTAAAGGCAGAATCACTAGCCAGGTGCAGCAATAGAATAAAAGGGTTAGCTTAGCCTTAGCCAAATCCAAAGGGACTAGAGGCCTGGTGGTGTTGGGGCCTAATGAGCACTTCTAAAGCTTTATGATTTGTAATACATGTGCTGCCTTTTAATACTTTCCACCGCCTTTAGGCCAGCCAGTTATTTGCATGTTGGATTCCCATTGAGGCTGGCTATGTATATGTTGGACACACTTTAGGGCCAGCTACTAGTACCTGATTTCAATGCTAGCTATAATTTCACATTTCTTAAAAAAAAAAAAAAAAAAAATACAAAAGAAATGTTAGCACAATATGCTTTATGCAACAGTGATAATAGTTATTTTTAAGGTTTATAGCACACATTATTTATTTATTTATTTATTTATTTATTATTGCTATTTATAAAGCGCACACAGATTCCGCAGCGCTGTACAATTAGTTGAGAAACGTACAATATACACAAACAAATACAAGAGGTAAGAGAGTCCTGCCCGTAAGCTGATATCTAGCCATTGGAGCTCTTTTATACAAAGTGCTTAGCTAGATGGCCCGTGAGCTTACAATCTAAAGGATACCAGGGGGATTTGAGACAAGAGGTAGCAGGGGAAGTTTGGAGGTGATGGCTGAAAGAGTTAACAGAGAAGCAGCTATTGTTAAGATGTTAGAGGAATGAAGAGGTAATTGGGAGAGAATCTCAAACAGCTGGAGGAGCATGCTATATATTTAAGGGGAGCCTGGGTGGGTGGGAAAAAAAATGCAGTCTTCACTGAGTTGATTGTGAAGTGAGGCCTGAGAGTGATGGGTGTTTCTACAGGATGGTAAATGCAGTCTTCACTGAGTTGATTGTGAAGTGAGGCCTGAGAGTGATGGGTGTTTCTGCAGGATGGTAAATGCACTCTTCACTGAGTTGTGAAGGCCTATACCTACTATGGCTTTGATTTAATATTTTTGGATACGATTTTCAAAAGGTATTAATGTGTTTGGCTAAACTTCTACAAATATTAAAATATATATATATATATTAAAATATCAAAATTATATAATAAAAACAAAAGATACTAGTATATATATTTTAAAAGTTTGTCCAAAAGTATTAAATTAAAAAGCTTATCAAAAAGTATAAAATGTATGTTGTCCATTATTGCTAACTAAAATATTTGTACTAGCAAGTGTTTATAATCAATAAAAAAAAAAAAAAAAAAAAACCGCACAAATCCATAGTCTGTTTTCTAACTATAAATAGGCCATGCCCAGAATTTTATGGACACACTTTGCCAGCGAGCACATTTTTCCCTTAGAATTGTTATCTCTAACAGGAGGGTAGACTGACTTTGATTTTCATTGTTTGATGAAATAATGTGGCAATGACCCGACGCACGCCGTGCCTCAGTAAACTCACCTCCTAGCATCTCCTGGGAGTTGTCCTTTAATCTTCAAAGACTCCCCAGACTTCAGCTCCAAGTTCACAATCTCAAATTTTTCCTGCGTGACAAAAAAAGGAGAGACTTGATCATATGTGTTGCATTGAGACTTTGTGTACTGACTGTGAACACTGAATTGTTCACAGGAAAAAAAGTGACAAGAATGATATAGACCTCAAAATTTTGCTTCTTTACCTCCTGATCACAAAATCCCATGTGCAAACAATTGGAAAGAAAATATATGACCAGCAACTTCCTCTTCCTTTGAACACTTCCAAAACCAGCTCCGACATAAGGAATTTAATCAACATATAAACTTGATCTTTAAACAATTAAATCATTATTTTCTATAGCACTCAAGTGAGGTATGCACATTTTAAAGAGATGCAATGTTCTGTGAGGGCACTACATGACAACTAGGAGGGCCCAATTTACGCGACAAGAATAACCATCCACCAAACAAAGGAAAATGTCCCCACTCTCTTCCTAGAGTCCACTCCAAAGTTGCATGTCTTTAAGTGAAGTAAAGTTTCCAAAGAATGGCCAACATTATTTGACTGTTTTCCGTATTTTGCTTTTCAGCCACAGCCATGTGAGATTTGAGCAATATACAAATTTTTTTCTTACAAAACTATTTAATCTGACTAAATAAGGTATCAGTGCACACACTGATGGTTGTTTCTCTATGTTCTATGGATTTATTTTTTCAAATTTCAGCTACTACAAAATTCATTTTATATTGCATTATAGATTGAGGAGTGTAACCAATGAGTAAATGTTCTAAATTTAGTTCTCGCGTTGTAAAACAGCTTGTGGATAATGACAAATACTTGTTCTTGTCCTAACAGTTGACCTAAAGGCATTATCCTCTCTTTATTGTTTGACTACAATTGTTGCCACGTATACTGATAAGAAGGGTGCGGCCATTTTTTAGAAGTTACATTTATTATTTCTGAAAACTGATGTGTCTTTATGTGATTGGCTGTTGAGAAACATAATTATCATCCTGATCAAATTTTAAAGATAAGTAATACCTAGTCACCTGTTCTCAGCTGTTATCATGTTGCATAATTATGTAAATATATCTGATGATATTTGCACTGTGGTGTTACTCCACGACTGGGGTTTGGAAATCAATGGTGTAGGTAACGTAAAGGGATCAAAGAGAGGCTCAGTGTCTTAAATTATCACAGTTAGTAAAGATAACTTCAGAGAAGAAATTCATATACAACATCCATTCACTTTACTAGATGTTTACTGATATTTTAAGGATTTGCAAAGTCCTATTAACCTCTGAAGAATTTAATATTCAAACATGGCTTCCAAAACCACTCAATATGTGTAAATAATGGAAAATACAGATTGTAGGAAGCACTTGTCCCTTAAGAATGGCATTGGAAAATGCCAAAACATTGGAGATAGTATCGGTGAGACGGAATGTCTGCTCTCTGGTAGGCATACACTTAATTGATTACTTAATTGATTACTTGATTTTTTTTATGTTATGCAAGACTATTTGTCATGTTTTTGTTTCTGTGTAAACAGAAATAAAAGTGATTTTATTTGTCTTATTTACTAGTGCGCGACATTTTGAAATTAAATTGTCTAAATAATGCAAAATAAGTTGGTAAGTGTTATGACTTAATTGTGAAGAGTGGAAAAGCAATGTGATTTTATGTATTGATGCTATTAACACCAACTCCCAGGACAGTAGTCAGAAGGAGACTTGACAAAGCCTCAGGGGAGCCGAAACATTGTCTAAATGTTTGTACTCCACAATAAAGCTGCTGAAGAAACTACTTGGTGTGCCCAAAACTTTTTTGTTATACTAGAGTAGTCAGAAGGAGAACAGTATCTGTTCTGAAATGGCAAAACTGGTACAGAAATGCAGGGTTTACTCACTGAGCTGCATATTGTTATTAACTGAAAGAAAATGCTATCTGCAAATCAACATACCAGATTTGGAAATATAGCTGAGATTGTAATTTAAATAATCTAATGTAGGTTTTAATCTGCCAATTTGTCCTGAACTAAGCCATGGACAGGTGGAGACGGGAAGCTTGAGTCAAATAAATTTTTTAAAAAACAGGCTACATGAGAGCAATGTGATGGTCTGTGAATGGAAAAAGAACAGGAAAACAAAACGACTGAAACACTGAATGGTTTATACAGTGGTTAGGGTGGATTTCCGACTTTTCTTAACTAACTTCCAACCCTTAGTATTTTTAAAATTGCTAATTAAAAAAATCTTATTATTTAGATAATAAAACTAAAAATAAATCAGCTGCCATGCCTAGAGCACTTTCCAAAAGTGGAATGAATTGCTCCTACTAATTCAGTTAAAAGTCAGGTAAACTTGGGGAAACCTATGACCTGCAACGTTTACATTGCGTGATGAACTGACTTTGCCATGTTTTAGTTTATTCAACCTAAGGAGACTATGTATAAATTGCAGTACTATAACGTATTCTAAAGAAAAGTGTATTTTTGCACATATTTTTATACGTTGTCATAATAATCACTTTTCTATTTTGTTGCAACTAGAACAGTTGTCTGATGCTAATTATGTTATATATCAGTGCAGGCACTAATTGTGTCATAATTACTCCATGGTTCTTACGAAAACACTTTTATATCTACCTTCCTTGTCTTCAAACAAGCTAATTTGCACCATAATGCCGATTGAATTATACAGAGTTCTAAAAGGTGTTTTAAATAATTCATAAAGCTTTGACATTTACTCTACAAAAACAAGGATTTACATATATACAACGTGAATGCAATATATACTATATGCATATGTACAATTAAAAGCCTAGTACCAAAGCTTAAGAGAGCAATATTTGTATCATCCTTTTAATTATTTGAATCTTTGAAGCACTTTCCACCGTGTGTAAAATCTATTGCAAACCTTTTAGTTGTACAGACAGATAACACATAAAAAAAAATACAGATTAATAACATAAAATTGACTTACAGACATGGTAGAAAGCTAATCAAACTGCCCAGGGGTAACTGCTACAGAAAGAAGCCTTTTTAATGATGTGGTTTATTTATAACCCATCTACAGAATCCCTAAGATTATATATTAACTTAGCATGAATCCAGGGGGTGTAATAAATGCAGGACTTTGTCCTGGTAACAGTTTATTTCTGTCTCTGCAAATGCATCATACAGCAGGTATAACAATAGAAGTCAAAATTGTGCAATGTGGTGCTATTGATTTTTTGTGGGGTGGGGGGAGGGAGTGTACTGAATATTACCTGACATTAATTTTTCTCTGTTTTAACAATGACTCATTCATAAAAAAGATTCTTGTACTCTTACATTTTGTAATAAACAGGTAATCCCCTAAGAAGAAATGCATTTTTGGAAATTTGTATCATCGTCACTGCATTTTGTTATCTCTCTACAATTAAATAATTAAACATATAGCTAATGCAATCTGCACAGCAGGTAAAGTAGGCTTTGTTAATTTGCACGTCACATCATTAATTCTGATTAATGCAAATATTCTTTACTTGTGTATATTATTGTTGACTGATACTAAGCAATTCTAGAGAGCATTAATTTTAAGAGGATTTATATTAATTTTTGTGGGAAATTATAACCTCATTCTATGATCTATAAATCACTAAAGAGTTCATTAGTGGGATGTTTCCAGGAAAGAGCCCACGTTTTATTAGATTGATATTGCAAGTTCCAAAGACTATATTCCATCCATTGAATACTAACCATCCTACCCAAATGGCATTCTCCGTGGAGGTATCAGCTCAGGAATGAAATGTAAAGTGAACAATTGTATGGTAATTCGATAACGTTAACCTGGAGCATTAGGCACTTGGGGCGGATCTTATTTTTGGCTAGTGAGTGTGTTAGTTTTTGTGTGTCAGTGAGTGTGTTTCTGTTAGTGGTGTGTTAGTTTGTGTGTCTCTTAGTGTGTGTCTGTTATTCAGTGTGTGTCTGTTAGTGAGTCTGTTTGGTGTCTGTTAGTGAGTGTGTGTTTGTCAGTGAGAGTGTATACTTTGTGAGTGTGTATGTGTGTCTGTCTGTCAGTGAGTGTGTGTGTACGTATGTCTGTCACTGAGTGTGTGTCTGTCAGTAAATGCGTGTGTCTGTTAGCTAGTGTGTATGCGTCTGTTCGTGAGAGTGTGTGTTTGACTGTTAGCGAGTATGTGTGTGTATGCTTGTGTTCTAGTGAGTGTGTGTTTGTTAGTGATAGTGTATATGTGTTTGTCAATGAGTGTGTATGTGGGTCTGTCACTATGAGTGTGTGCCTGTATGTATGTGTATCTCTGTGTGTGTCTGCATGTGTGTGTGTGTGCCTGTATGTGTATCGCTTGGTCTGCATGGGTACCTGTTTGTCTGTACCCCTTAAGCACTTACCTTTCTCCAGTGCTGGGTTCCCTTGGCGTTGAGGATCTCAGCTCCGAATGCGCATGCGCAGCAAGAGCTGCTCACGCATTCAAATCGCCCATAGGAAAGCATTACTCAATGCTTTCCTATGGACATCCAGCATCTTCTCACTGTGATTTTCAAAAGTTAAGTGACACTGCAGGGTTAAAACTAGAGGGACCTGGCACCCAGACCACTTCATTGAGCTGAAGTGGTCTGGGTGCCTATAGTGGTCCTTTAAGTGTATGTATCTACATGCACTGGCATACATACCGCAGTCGCAGAGGTCACAGCCCTGCGACCCGGTGCCTGCCACCATGTGTTGCGACCCCGGCCCGTGCACTGTAAGCGCCAGGGGGAGGGGCCCCAATGATCAGTTTTCGCACCGGAGCCCCATGGATCATGTGTACGCCACTGGAGGGGGGTGATGTGTGAGGGAGTGGGTGATGATGAGAGGGGTGGATGTGTGAGAGAGGGGATGATGATGAAAGGGGGGATGATGAGAGAGGGAGGGGATGACGAGGGGGGTGATGATGAGAGAGGGGAGGTGATGATGGGGGTGATGATGAGAGGGGGGGTGATGATGAGAGAGGGGGGATGGTGTCAGGGATGGGGAGGGGGTACGGACAGACTAAATAACATAATTCCCTCGTGGTCCGGTGGGCTCCCTGGTAGTCCGGTGGCCATAATATCCGGCATGAATCTCGCGAGACCCAGTCAGAGCACGGGGGTAATGGGGAGGGAGGGGGACTAAATACCTTTTTTTATTCCCTGGTGATCCAGTGTGGGCTCCCCGGTGATCCAGTGGCCATTATAGAGCTGCAGACCATGTATCTCGTGAGACCCATCAGAGTGTTGCCATGGTAACCCGCAGCAACGCATTGATCAGATCTCGCGAGACACATGGTCTGCAGCTCTGCAACTCTGCACACTGCAGAGCTGCAGACTGGTGTCTGCGATGGGCGCAGGAAGGGCATCTCACTCGGCGGCATATCTAGCAAGCTGCCGGGCCCCCTCCTGGTGTCAGGTCCTGGGTCATTGACCCAGCATCCGACACAGTCTGCCCCGGGCACCCCCATAATAAGTTGCACCAGGGGTGTTGCGCCCCCCTCCCCACCCCACTTAGTATGCCACTATCTGTATCAACAACAAAAAATTAAGTGACACTGCTGAGGTGCTTAAAAACAATGAAACCTTCATTCTTGAACCTTCAGCTATGATATATTGAGGAAGCTGTTCAATATAAAATTTTTCAAAAGCATAAAAATAAGCATAAAAATAAAAAAGTCCTAACAGTAACCTAATCTACACATTGCACCTAACATGTTTGGGATCCTGTTCAGGTGCAGGTAGTTAGATCACTAGATATTCTGTGTTTGTAGCGTTTGAAATGGAATAGTCATCTAGTCTTTCAGTCTTTCACCATAAATGCGTTATGCAAACATGGTAGTCATTTTGTAAGACATTCTGTTCAGAATGTTTAAAGGGATGCAATAGTCACTAGAAGAACTACAGTTTAATGTAATGATTTGTGTTTCTATAGCCTGTCCCTGGAGGCTTTTCAATGTAAACATTGCCTTTTTAGAGAAAAGGCTGTGTTTACATTGGTGTATCGTAACATCTCTAATAGGAGTCACTCAGATGGCCACTAGAGGTGCTTCCTAGTCAGGTGCCACACAGTGTGCAGCACTGGCGTTCACTCTGCATGGAGATGCTGAATGTTCCCCATTGAGATTCATCTCAACAAGTAGATGCTGATTGGAGCAGCTCTGCATTTTGCCGCATGTGTACAATAGCCTACCAAAGATTTCCTATAGGAATTCATTAGATTGGCTGAGATCATCAAAATTGATTATCTCAAGCATGGAGGCAGAATCAGGCGGGTCAGTCACAGCAAGACCGGCACAGTGTGGGAGAAAAGGTGAGTAAAACTACCTTTTTACTGCTCTGACTGAAGCAGGGGATCTAAACAGCTACACAGACACTGTTTGTATTCCTGATACTATAGTGTTCCTTTAACTATCTTTGCCTTGGCACTCTTTTCATCCGCATGTTTTTTTACTCATGTGTGATTAAGGATGGGCATTCTCTGGGTGACAGGTGCTTTGCTGTAATGTTTGCTCTGGGAGGAATTGCAGAACAAATGCTGGACAGCACAGGTAAATTAGATGATAGATATATAAGTTGTGTAAATAGTTAAATGCTTTCTCCTAATCACTGTATTGACCCCTTCAATGTTACTATGCATAAAGGTAATACTCCGCCTACAGCATGTGTGTGCCATAAAATGGAATAAGATATGTTCTAATGTAAAGAATGAAGAAAACCTTACCATGCTACCCAGTGGTGTATCCTGGTTTTGTGCTGCCCTAGGCAGGACAAAACTCAGGCACCCCCCAACCCCTCGCGCGCGCGCGACTCCCACCCATCCCTTACCCCCGCCCCGCCTTCTAAATACACACACACTCACTGACAGATATGCATACACTAGCTAACAGAAACACAAACTCACTGACACACACAGACACTCACTCACTCACTAGCAGACAAACACTAGCAGACACACTCACTCACTGACACACTCACAGGCAAACATACACACACAGTCAGACACACACACACACACACAAACACACTCACTCACTAGCAGACACACACACTCACTAGCAGACACACACACTCACTGACACGCACACTCACAGGCAAACACACTCCCACTAACAGTCAGACACACACACACACACACTCACTAACAGACACACCCACTCACTAACAGACACACTCACTAACAGACACACTCACACACACACACACTAACAGACACACTCACTAACAGACACACTCACACACACTAACAGACACACTCACTAACAGACACACTCACACACTCACTCACATTAACACTTTTTTATTTTTTATTTAACCCCCCCCAACCAGCCTCCTTACCTTTGGGAATGCTGGGGGGGTTCCCTTTCTCCCTGGGGGTCCAGTGGCTGCTGGGCGGGTGGCTGGCAAGGGAGCTCTTCCTCTGAGCGGTCTGCTCAGCTCCCTCGCGCGCCGCAGAGTGAGGCTGGGAGCCGGAAGATGACGTCACATTCCGGCTCCCAGCTTCACTCTGCGGCCCGCGAGGGAGCTGAGCAGAACGCTCAGAGGAAGAGCTCCCTCGCCAGCCGCCCGCCCAGCGTCCGGCATGTCAGTTAGCCGTGAGGCTAACTAGGCATTTGCCCTGGGCATTTGGGGGCGGCTTTTTTTGCCGCCCCCTGGAAAATGCCGCCCAAGGCAAATGCCTTGTTTGCCTCGCGGCTAAAATGCCCCTGATGCTACCTACAAATCCTCATATAACGTTTGAACGGTTACGCCAAGCATCATAACCACTACAGCCTGCAGGAGTACAAATGTGGGTCCTTGCACCTGGTCTCCTCTCAGTGCTGGTGACATACAATAGTCACAGATCAAATCGCCATTAATTGGCTGAGAGGATGGATAATGACACCCCAATGATGCTGCTGGAGAAGGGGTTAAACTCCATATGTGTAGTGTTCCATATTGCAACGCACATATAGACTGCAGGCACGGGCATCCAGAAAAAATATTTTGAGAATCATTGAAACCATGGGATAGGATACTAAAATTGTTTTGTACCAATATTTCACAAGCTAAAAAAAAAACAAACAAAAAAAACAATAAAAAGCTGCAACTTCCTCTTTAAATATAATCTACTAGCGTGTATTTATCTAAACAGTCCTATGTCTTATCTCTGCATTTAGTGTTTATCTGACATTCTGTATAAATAACTCCAATATTTAAAGAGGAAATAATAGTTTATTGTGTATATAAAAGTTCCATTTATAATTATTTAATTTTGTTGAGCATGGTGGTACTCTGTGAAAGCTATTCAGTACATCAGATTGAAAAATCATACATGTGTCTTTTTATATGTAGTAAAAGAAGAAATATTGGCAACTGCTGATGTAGTATGCATTCTGGAATAATATAAGTAGAGTGAGCTTAAAGGATTTCTCCAAGCCTTTTTACTCCTGTTGGAATAATACTCAAAATCCAGCGCCTGACATCATGGGAGTCACATGGGGGACCAATCAAGGCTTCTCCAATCAAAGGCTCGGCCTGCAAAGGGAGAAGCAGTTATGTCTGTCAGCAGGGGCGGACTGACCGGTCGGGCACTTCGGACACGGTCCGAGGGCCCGGCCGGGAGGGGGGCCCGCCGCCAGGGCCGCCTTCAGGGGGCCCGGCGGCAGGGCTAGATTGTGGGCGGCATTTGTGGACTGCAGGTGCCACCGGGTGGCCGGTCCGGTGGCACACTGTGGGGGGGGGCGGCCGTTTGATGCTGGAGCCGCCGGACCGGGTGGCAGCCTCGCCGGTCCGGCGGCATTCCGCTCACTAACACAGAAGAAGAAGGAGGAGGTGGAGCATGTGTGTCATGCTCCCTGCGGTTCCCACAATTCCCAGCACAGGATGTGGGAAC